TGAAGGTGATGGTGAAGGTGATGGTGATGACGTCTCCAGGTGTGCGTCTGAACCTGCTGAGCCTGCAGCCAGCCCTGCGAACTTTGACCTCCGACTATAACTGCCTGAAGAAGCAGGTCCAGGATTTCCCCTCCATGCTGGAGAAAGCAATCAGTGAGGCCAAGCAGGAGGTGAGGCCCGGTTCCGCCCGGCCCGGTTCCGCCTGGCCAGGCTGATCCGCTGTGTGTCTGCAGATCTGCCAGGTGATCAGCGACGTCAGCAGCACCAACCAGGATCTGCTCAGGAAGTACAAGAGGGAGATGAACCTGAGGAAGAAATGCCACAACGAGCTGGTCCGCCTCAAAGGTCCGACCCGCAGCAGAACCTCCCGCTCGGTTCTGGTTGCTGCTACCTATGGCAGGCCCATTTAACATGAAATCTGGGTCCCAGGTAACATCCGGGTGTTCTGCCGGGTCCGACCCGTCAGCCAGGAGGAACTGGACTCGGCCGACGCCGGAACGGCGCTGAGCTTTGACTCGGACGACGACGCCGTCCTTTACCTGTCCTCCAGGGGAAAGGTCATGACCTTTGAACTGGACAAGGTCTTCCCGCCGCAGGCCTCGCAGGAGGAGGTGAGCGGCTCCAGAACCAGGCCTCCTGGCTCTTCCTGGTTCTGGTCCCCTGACTCGGCGTCTCACCTGTGTCCTGTTCTCTGATTGGTCCTCCAGGTGTTCCAGGAAGTGCAGGCTCTGGTCACTTCCTGTATCGATGGCTTCAACGTCTGCATCTTTGCGTACGGACAGACGGGATCTGGGAAGACCTACACCATGGAGGTAGGGGGCGGAGCCTCACCTGGCCTCACCTGGCGCCGGGCCGCTTCTCACCTGTAAGCCCCGCCCCCTTTGTGTCCACAGGGTGTGACCTCTGACCCTGGCATCAACCAGCGCGCGCTGCGCCTGCTGTTCGCCGAGGTGACGGAGAAAACTCTGGACTGGGAATATCGGATCGTGGTCAGCCTGGTGGAGATTTACAACGAGACGCTGCGGTGAGGACCGGGTCTGGTTCTGGTTCAGGTTCTGCTTTAGATTTGATCGTTGCATGCGTGGGCTCTGCTGCCCTGCGCTGCGCCTGCAGGCTCTGACGCTCTGTTTCCTGCAGCGACCTGCTCAGGCAGAATCCCACAGACAAACTGGACATCAAGCTGAACCCGGACGGCAGCGGGCAGCTCTACGTCCCCGGACTGACGGAGATCGCGGTCCAGAGCCCTGAGGACATCAACAGGGTAACCGCTTCCTGTCTGTCCTTTCAGAGTAAAACACCCAGATATCAGAGCAGCGATTCTGGTTCTGATGGCCTTGTCCCTGTCCCCAGGTGTTTGAGCTGGGCCAGGTGAACCGGGCCACGGCATGCACCAACCTGAACGAACACAGCTCGCGCTCCCACGCGCTGCTCATCATCACTGTGTCTGGGTTCAACAGCACGACCGGAACCAGAACACAAGGTCAGGCCGGTTCTGCCATAGACATAATATAAGGATAGACCCTCATGGACCG